TTGTTTCTCACGTAAAAAGTTCACCACATTTTGTAAGGAGATGTCCCTTCTACCCATCACAACTTGTCTCCATATAAAGGGGTCATTAGGAAAAGAGCAGCTGCTAGGGCCTACATCGAGGCCTGTGCCAACCCACATGGCTACACCCAGCTGCATCACAACCTTGCATCAACTGAACTGAACAACCGTCAGATAGCCTGAGAAAACAGCTGTTATTTCGCGACACCACCACTGGTGTCCCTGTGAAATGACGTCTGAGAAATGACTGCAGAAATTCCATACTGTTGAGGTGCCAATACCCAGTTCTGGGTAGTGCTTCTGATTGGTCGTGTGCTGAGGGAAAATTGCAATCAGAAGCACTACTCAGGTCTGGGTAGTGACACACGACGTCGCTAGTATGAAATTTCTGCAGTCATTTCCAAACGTCATTTTGCGGAGAAACCAGTGGTGACGTCCCCAAAGTTTGGCTGTTTTCTCAAGCGACCATTGAGATTGTTGTCGCAAATCAAAATCTTGACGATAGAAGTCAAGGAAAAGGTCTCGACTTACACTAGATTCCACAACACTAGACAACTTGGTTTGACTACCATGCACAGAACTCAGTTTAATTTTAAAGTTTCAAAGTCAGTTGGTTAAACAACTGACGGCAAAGAACATACAATAATGAGCAAAAGCTACAACCGAAAGTTACTTTATACTTAAGTCTGGTTTAAAGCAGCAGCAAGCTAATCATAAATACCTTTTGTTACCTAATTAACAAGCATAATTCATAACACTTGACCTGCGCCATTGTAAAGCAGCTCTGTGACTGGTCTGCTATGAGCACTTCTGTTTCGAATGTTTGTCCTTCCTTGGAGCGGAGGGCAAGCGCCCGAAACCTGGGCGGATATACCTTTATGGTCCCTGCTCTAAACATCAGCTTTTAAAGGGTCTTCCCGGTGGTGACTTGATTTTATACACTCAACAGATAAAACTTTTTTTTTGTGAGTTGGTCTCTCTTACCAATGCAGCACCACAGATTGTGTTGAAACTATAAATTCCTTCAACCACATTATCATTTTAACCTGAACCAACGAATCTCAGAGATGCACATTTTCATGCGCATTTTATGAGGAAAAACATTCCTTTGAACTCGATAACCAGCCAAAGGGCTGCTTTGGATTTGTGCATGAATTTTCTTAGTCATTTGGTATAAAATAAAAAGGCATAACACTGTTTATATAAGCCGTTCACAAAAGTGTTGATGCACACACGCGCAAGTCCACCTGGTCTCGATTTCCTCGATCCTTTCCAGCAGTCTACGCTAGGTCCGTGCGTGATTTAATGCCTGTTGCCGAAATGAAGGAATGTTCATGTCTCCCCGAATTGCTGAAGTCCCTTATTAAACTCTCCACCTGGCGGACATTTGCGTGTGTTCCGACTCTTGCAAAACATACAGTAATAGGCAACTTCTGAGTTCCAAAAGCCCTCACCTTCAAAATGAGGCCAAGTGCATCACTTTTCTTGTGAAAATGAGTGTTATTGGCATAAATCATTTTCATATCAAAGGCTGAGCACTTAACCTCGTTTTTATACAGAGGCCCAGGTAACTCAGAAATTAAATGGCCTGTTGCGAACTGCAAACCTTGAATTACCTTTATTAAAATGCCTACAAAATTTGCTATGACATTATGCAATATACGTAGCTAAGAAATATTGTATAGTAATGAACAAGTTTCAAAGTGTCGAAGCTTCAACTCTTAGGCTCAGTGGGGGTGCAAGATTCCATTTTGTTCTTTGCTTTTTTCCATTCTAATTTTTGTCAGACAGGAACTGAGCCTGAAAGCTGAAGCAAAAGACACTGCAAATTCCAACTATAAAATGGAAACAAAATTTATCGTAGTGCTGGTTGTACATCACAACCGGCTGTGAGGCTTACTTGTTGACTATTTACATACCGTATTTATTCGAATAAGTGCCCAACCTCGAATTAGCGCCCGCCTCGAATAAGCGCCCATCCTAAAGGCAGAAAAAGTTATTAAATGCCCAACCTCGAATAAGCGCCCAGCACCCATCCAGCAAGCTGTATCTGCTTTTCGGGCACCTAACCCATTTGCTGGCTTTACGATGTCGGACATCCAGGAGGCAGCACCGGAGAATTCACTTACTGACTTCCTTAAAGACGGAGTTTTCTTCAGAGCATTTTACAGAAACCTTGCTTTGATGTTGTTTTGTTGCAAAATAAACGTTACTACAGTTGCTGAAAATGGTGAAAATTTAAGAAACGCCCACTCTCAAGGTCCAAAAATTTAATAAGCGCTCAGGGCGGTTAATCGAATAAATACGGTACACCATTTTTATATTTGGGTCAAGATGACGAGATTGAATGGGGACCCTCCATGTAAGAACGCCTAATTTTGAGCTGAGACTGAGCCAAGACTGAACTTGCTTATTTTTGAGGCGATATGAGCCTCAAAACGTTCTTAGATGTTTTTGGATTACATTTTGTAAACATTGTATGGACGACTTTTAATTTCCTCGTGTTTTGAGAGGCCAATAGTGACCTCAGGAGAGGCAACAGTGCACACAATGTTCAGCCAAACATGTACAGCAGTCTTTATAGCAATTTTTCTATATTCCTCACGTTGAAATTGGTGGAATCGACAGTGTTCTAGACTGAACTTCAGCCTTGGCTTTGCTCTGCTCTTAGGATATTCTTAAAAAGGTTTCTATAAAACAGGAGTAAGCGTGGCTTAGCACCAGGACGCCGAGGACTGATCAGGAATGTAATTAATTTAGCCAGGAATTAACACAGGACCAGTTCATGAGCTTTCGCCCTGCTCTTTACTACTAATTTCTATATCAAGCGCACAAATTTCCCTCACTTTTTCGTTGGCAGAAGTACCTAGGATTCTTCTCCTAAAAAAGCGAGCTGCAGAGTAAAACGTCAGTGGAATAAAGCATGCTGTACAGTCTCTAACGTCCTGTAAATCTATTCACGTTGCCTCGTTAAACCTTGGGATCCGGATCCAGACCTTGAGATAATTGGGGGGGGCCCGGGCCCGGTCATCCAGACCCTTAGATAAAGGGGAGGCCCGGTCTCCAAAAACAGTTTTTTTCAGTTTTTTATGGTGTTCAAGAAACTTACTTAACCTCACTTAAGCCTGTGGTTGTTTGTCTCTAGGAAAACCAAAGGAAGAGGTCCAGAGGAAGGGGACTTAATGACTTAAAATCAACGAAATCTGGACAAAAGTATTTTATCACTTAACTCAAGAGACGAATGCTTCAAAGCTGGGCACTGCACGATTCGAATATTACGACTATCACGTGTCATGACAGCAAGGTTCTTCGCAGTAGAAAGGAATGTGTAACGGTTTGGAATGATGTACTAACGAAGTAAGTTATTAGGGAGCTTAAGCAACTACGACGACGACCACAACGACGACTTCAAAAAAACAATAGGTTTAATGATCAAAACAACAGTTCTGCACATCACTCTTTTTAGTTCATTTCTTTGATGTCCACTGCGCGACTACGACGTGAAACCTCCTAATTCGCCGTTTTATGGAGGACGTGAACATACGAATTTTCTTTCCACTTTTTGAACCCGAATAAAATCCTTAAGAATTCAACCCCAGGAAAAGTGGCTAGCATTTGGCATATTGAGCGGGTCCAAATAGACGCAATTAAGTTTGAAAGAACGCAAATTCATTTTTTTCACCGACGTTTACACTGCCATTATCGTCGTCCTTGCTTAAGGTCCCTATTGGCTTCACCAATGTGCACAAGTTGGATCCCCGTTATTAAAATTTTCTGGATCCGCCCCTGAAATCAATCATAGAGTGGTGAGTGCATCCTTTCCCACTTTGCACTCCTTGCGCACGTTCAGAAAAAAATGTAAGTTTTTGATATGTTTTTCCTTAGAGCTTTTTGAGTTCTTTGTGCCCGCCGTGATAACATAACAGATACAAGAGACAACTGAATGAAAAATGCTGACATTTTAAAAATCCCTTACATATTTGCGAGTGATATAACTCAGGGGCACTTAACGACTGTTTTATGTAAAATATCTGTTCGGAGAAGCAAATATTGACGAGAATTTTCTGTTTCTTGATGACGGCTAAAAATTTCTAGATGACCGTTCCATTCATGACAATTTTCGAAGCTTATCTCATTAATTCCCTACGATTTCCTGACGTTCAAGTTTCACATTTTACTTCCCAAGTTAGGCTATTTTTCGGATTCAAAAATTTGATGGAGAGAGGAATTAGAAAATGTCTCACTTTCGTAATACGTCAAATTTCATCTAAAATTTTCAGGAAAATAATACTCAAGCCCTTCGCGTAATTTCGAAAAGACTCAAGTTTCCCTAGGATGACCAAACAGATACAAATTTCACAGCGCCGCTCAAAATGCTTCTAAACGGTACTCTGGATAGTCTAAAAGTGTTTTTAATGTATTTAGGGGGAAACCGTCGTTGGGTGCCCCTGATAATTGTCTACTGAAAGGCAGATCATTACCAAGGTATATGAAAGATACTTGAATGTTCGATACGATATCAATAGTGTCATTCTCAAGTATCGACACTTTTCAGGCAAATCTGGTTTGGTATCGGTACATCTTTCAAAATTACGTTTACCTTTTATTTTATAGCTGGCGAATCAGAGTGCTAGTAAAAAAAACACCATCTCTCTCATTGCTTCAATGAGGTTTTCTATCACCATTATCTGATGATAGTAAGCTGCAACTCTGTTTCCCTTGGCGTGTTATCTATGCTGGTGCTACGGTTAATGTTACCTGTCGTACCCACCCACAGATACCGCAAAGTGAAAGAAGAAGGCTTGGTCCCCAGCGGGAGCGCACGGATAAGGGCGCAAGGGATGATGGGAAGTAAAGAAGAGGGAAAACTGGATTGAAAGATGCGGAGGAGCTCAGATTGCGTTACATTAAAGTCATATCGTCATAAACAAACAAACACCAACAACGAAAAGCACAAAGTCAAAAGCTCAGGATACAGTTCTTTATGTGGTTGTTTCATAGAATACTTCGATATCTGTTGGCGTGAATGTGGAGTTTCCAACATAGAATGTACACTTTCGAGCAGATGAACAATACCCTGGTGGGAGAGGGTATTTCTTGCCACAATAAGTAGAAGAATCCTGGTTACTAGCAGAGTTGTTTGATATGCGAATATCTTTCCAGCCAAATATTGGTCCATCTGAATCACACCTTCTTACAGCTTGATGGTAACTATCAGGCTTGACTCGCAGCTTAACAGGATTGTACACAGCGTGTCCAGAACCGTTGTTATTGGTCAAGGAGTAGATAAAGGCTTTACTTGAATTTCCATACCGACAACCACCTGGGAGATAATGACGACATTTTACAATTCTTACTGACCTTACTAAAGGCGCTCATAGAAAATTAACTTCTAGGAATATTCAATTATCCGGACTTCAGTTTAAAATAGTGAGTGAAAGTCCGGCTTGACATACAAAGATTCCTAGACAAATCATGCATTACTGTAATTTTTAAAATTTGCTGTATTTGTATAAATTTTTCAATGTTCTATTCCTAAAAATCCATTTGTTGTCATGAGCCACACATCCATTTGTTGTCTTGCTGAGTGCAGTAATCTACACTGTTAGTGACTTTTAGAAAACAAACTTATGTGGGGAAGGAGAAAACAGTCTCTTGGAGAAAATTATTCCTAAAAAATTTAGGCAAACTAGTTTTAATGCATTCAACAAACTACTATGAGCAGAAACCTAGCTCTCCTAAAATACTGACAGAATCCCCATGTGTTAATAGAAAAACCTCCGCAGGGTTTTTTCCGTCCTTAGAAAAAAATTACCTTTTAAAAGGTAATTTTGGTCAAACTAGAATCGACTAAACTGAATTTTTACATGGAAAATTTTTCCTTTTTATCCTTGTGACAAAGCCTGAAACCCACTTTTCTTTATTAAAAAGTCCATAAAAGTTACAATTTAATTATTCAGTAAAATAAGGCTGGCACCAGAGGCGTCCTCTCCTTTGGAGTGGCCCTTTAACGGGTTTTGGTAAGGAGAGAACGAAACCAAATTTTGCAAGATTTTGTTTATTGATGTTGTGATTTAAACCTGAAATCAACGATAAAAAGGTAAATTGACGTTTCGATGGTTTCATGTCATCATTATCAAAAGATATGAAATTAACATGATTCGTGGAAGTATATACAGTCCGGGCCACAACCAGATCTGGTATGTAATTTCCTGCAATCTGATTGGCTCAGAGCTCAACCAAAACATTGACTTGACCGCGAAAGGACTAAGCTCGACAGAAATGTCGAACAGGGAAACTTGGAACGCACCTTGAAGAAAAGTAACAGCAATACGGAGCCGATTAATCGAGATTATTTTATGCGTCATAGCGTTCGATTTACGAATATCGAGATGTTAATGATCGAGAACGCTTTCTGTAAACACCCGTGGATTTCTGATAATGTTTCAAGAGACCAGAAACAACTCGACGACTCAGATCGAATTGGAAGAATAGGGAATTTGAATACCGCGATACATTTTAAGCGGAAAGGTTTTGAGAAGTCCTGTTTGGAATTATTTCTGCGAGCACAGCTTCGACCTGGAGAAGTCTGTTCTATTCTACTTCAGGCGCAATACCATACGCCCTAAAATCTAATTTCGAATGATAATCTTAATGCTAATTATTCTTGCTGTATATAAATTTCCAGTATATTGAATCGTCACACATGTTGGAAATATGCGAAGGTCAAAGAAATAAATAAAATTTGTAGAAATTGCACTCGCGAAGAGTCGTAAGCAGTTATTAACGAACTTCTGTCTGCGTGTTGCTTATTGCAAATTGCAAAACCCCATTGCGGATGAAAATAATGCAAGTGGACGTATTCGTGTTCTAATAGCTGTTAAATAGTCACTGAGAGGACGTAAACATAATTTGACAATTGTATTTTGAAAAACAGCTTTGACAAATGAAATAGATGTGCAGACTTTACTATTGTTTGTGTCAAAAAATTTAATAGAATGGTTTTTCACAAGACAAGAAAATATTATATATATTCATATCTCTATATTTTTTAAAAAAATTTGTTCCTTTAAATTATTGTTATTAAGCGGGTGCATCAGTTGAGACGACTGATGCGGTTCCAAATCTCAAAGGAAGGTGTCACATTGGGATGCAGGGCTAGTACAGCATCACAGTAGTTTTGTGGCATGAGAGATTTCATAATACCATGTGCGTACTACCTAGGATATAGTAGTTTTACGGTAGATAAAAATACCACGACTATAATATGGGTTACAGACGGATACAATTCTAGTTTAGTCACATTTTCACTTGGTATTGCAGTAGCAACATTCACTTTTATTGCACTAGCAATCATTTCCCTCCCTCCCTCCCTCCCTCCCTGAAGGGTTTTATTTTGTTCTATTCATGGACAGTGTGATCACTTTTATTATTTGATTGAGGTTGTTTTAATTCTTTTTTAGTTTGGTCTTTCTTATTTGTTGGAGCACTTTATCTTTATACTTAATATTACCTTTTAGTTATTTACCATGTATTGTGTTTTGTTATGATTAATAAAGGCTGTCTTGTATCCCAAACAATGCCTGGGTTTCTGAGTTTTGTTGATTTAGTGTAAAAACTATGTCATTATAGTAATATCCTGTCACTGTAGGTGGAATACATACACACTGAAAAACTTAGTGGGCACTAAGCCTCTATTATTATTAGATTATGTTTGTCCTGTATCATACAGTCAAACCCCTCTTTACGGACACCAGCTTAATGCGGACTCCCTGTTATTATGGGAAGTTTCCTTGGTCACTAGGGAAAACCCTTAATTTTTTCTCTTTATTCAACCCACTTAATACAGACTGACCTGTTAAAAGGGATAATGGACGTTTTTTTCTTCCTCAATGAACAGATTCTCATATAAAGCAAACCTCGCTAATCTGCAGACTTTATAGTCCATTGTGTGCTGTAGTCAACCTCTTTTTTTTTGTAGGGTAAAAAAAAACTTTTCATTTAGTTGACGTCACATGTTCCCAGCATCATAGTACACCAAAATGAATGAATTGTGCACAACAATAATAGACCATTTTGACATCAATCGAGTTGGTAAATTTTACTTAATTTTTGATCTATTTTCTCGAGACTTCCGTGTGTTTTCATGGACACAGTCTGCAGAATAAGAGCTTAGTGATGTTTAAAGATGTTAGGTGTGATGCTGTAGTATTTCGATAAAAAAAGTGTATTTTTGACTAACAGGACTTGCTTGATATGGACACCTCCGTTATATAGACACTTCCTATGGCCCCTTCAGTGTCCATATCAATGGGGTTTGACTGTAATTATGAAATATGGAACAGCTTTGTAAGATCGATCATTTGGTGTCCTGTTTAAAGTGTATTTTCAGCCATTCTTCACATTTTCCACCTTGCATGTCATAACCTAAGGCAAAGTATAAAAGTAACAAATAAAAAATAAATTAAAAAATTATATAAGCAATCGAAAATACAGCGGTGTATGACATTTGCAGACTGCAGACCGCAGACTGCAGACTGCAGACTGCAGACTGCAGACTGCAGACTGCAGACCGCAGACTGCAGACTGCAGACCACAGATTGCAGATTGTAAATTAAAATACACCAAAAATCTTCCTAATAAAGGTGACACCATCAAAAATATAACATCGTGTGAAAGTGAGAAGGTAGCCTGGGAACAAGGTTGATATTTTTGCGCAAAGTTACATTGGTCTCATTTCGAAGATGCTGTTGGCTATTCTTCACCGACGCGACTCTTTATTGACTCATCCGGCATATCACTAATTGCGTTGATTCTTTATTCTTCTTTGATTATTGTGAATTGATAATAACAAGTAGCAATGCCCACTAATGCCTGTCTAAATAGTAGTCTTCTGTAAAAAAAAGTTTTTAGATTGCAAGCACTTCGTGCTCACTACAGTTACGTCAACGAAAACAACTAGGATATATCACGGACATTTAACACCTTTTAAATGACGTATTTCATCTTAGCAGTTTTTAAGGATGTGCTAAATAATCTAAACCGAACAGATCCTACCTGGACTCGACGAATTACCGGAAGTGCATTTTGAATTTCTAAATAGGCAAATCGACAATGGCTTTTTTAACAGGCCAATCATTGCTCATACTCAAATCCTAGTACACAGGTGGGGCCCCCGTAGAATAAGGATTCCGGCGCTGTTTCACAGATAGACTTATATAACCAGAGTTTAGTTTCATCTGTGTAGGCTAAATTGCTAGCCTGTTGCTATGGATTCATGAGCGAGTTTGTGACATCGGCAGACATTATTCTGAAAAATATAAACTTCGCTTCTAGGCCTTACATGTACTTCTCGGAACAAGGTAATTTTGATGATGATGCCACCTTTATTACGATACTTTTGGTTTCATTCAATTTACAGTCTTGCTGCCTCATGCAGTCTGCAGTCTGCAGTCTACAGTCTGCAAATGTCATACACCGTTATTATATTGTCAGCATTGACACTTTAATTCAGTAATCGAAAATTATATAAGTGGGAAACTGGTTTGCACTGTTGCATACTGTCTCATGACAGTGATTAATCAACCATCATCATTTCAGTCAAGATTTTTGTATTCAAAGCTATCGTATTGCCTCCTACAATGTGGGCTCGCTTGGGGCTATTCTTGTTGTTTTCACTTTTCTGAACTCGTGACAAGGCAGTCATTTACAAGTAGAGTTTCAAATGTAATTTTCTATTGTTTAAACTTGAAGAAGCAGTTATCTTACTCGTATCACCATGTCATCAAGACCTTCGCATGATTCTGCAACTGATCTGAGAGTTTTCACCATGTTTGAAACCCTTTTAAATATTGAGGTTCTGCAGGCAATAACAGTTCGAGGAGTGTTCCTTCCACACAAACAGTTTTATTCCTTGCTTTCTCCCTTCAGAGGTTTCGGGGTCCAAGTTACTCGAATTTAAATGATAAACGACTCTCCTCCAAGCCGAACCCACTTTCCGTGGATGGATTTCTCTGGAGTCCAGCCCAATATCTACGCCAAAGAAGTTCAAAAGTTCCCTTCGAAACGCTGTTTTGTCGCAGTTCTGGACAGTTTTGACTTTAGAGAAAGTTTTCCCACACAAACGGCATCTTCTTTCCAAAAAACCAAGGTGCTTTTCCATCCGACTGCAAAATAACGTAAAATAAACATGGCGTTACGAAAACCCGCACGTTAACTGAGCAACTGACTTTTGCATCTTTAAAAGCACAGCGCTATGTGAAACTGCTTTGCACTACACCAAACAGACCACTATCAAGAAGTGAATTTTATGTAGATTTCAAAAAAATTATTTCCAAAGGTCCAAAAAATGACACTCACCTTCTTTTTTTCGATGTTTTGCTCCTTGTCGGGCATTTCTTTGAGCCGGAAAAACTCTCGTGTTCGGTCGTTTTGCCTCCCAAGAACGAACAAAAGTTCATCGGACAGCATTTTTTCTTCACACCCCTGATTTCGCATTGTCTAAAGTCACAGCTCTCAAAGTAGTATGGGGAAAGGACACTTCTAGGCGCAGCAAAGAGCCAGGAACTGACCTTCCCTCGTGTTCCTCGGCGTGGGCGCCATTTTGCAAATTTGGGTGACGTCATCATATATCCAGATCTGGTTGTGGCCCGGACTGATATATTATCTTTGATAACATGATGACATTTGAAGACAAAATCGATTCTTCTTTTTTTATCATTGACTTTTGTTTTACAAAAAGAATGTTGTTTTTCAAAATCGATTCTTATAAGATTTAAACCTGACCAAGTGTTGTTCGTGCAGGTTTTTGGGATAATTTAATTTAAATAGTGAATTAGAGAAAAACAAACTTCTGGTAGTTCATTTCGAGTGATGTCATCATGAAAATGGCCAACTCTGATTGCTGAGGAATTACTTTCTCGCCTTGATTGTACGTAAACATAAAAACATCAGGCCAAAAGCCGCTGTACTACTTTATCGTTCTTCATTGTTAGCAAGCAAAATAAACAATTCCTGATTCTCCTAGTACATGCACTCACCCGGTACGGGGCTTTTCCAGGTTACATCACTGTATCCACCAAATATAAAACTGCCGACTTGAATGATAGTTACAGTGGGTCCCTTGTCATCACAGTTGCCGTGGAACGTAGATGCCGCCCAGCCGTCCTCTTTAGCGTGCCAACACCTCACAAATCTACTACGGACTGAACTATTGATCACGGGCTCCAAAAACAACGTGAAATTCTCCAAATACCTACTGTCGTTGCCAAGAATAGTTGATGCATTAAAACCACCTTAGAAAAGAAATCTTTGGTTCATGTCTTTGGTATGATCGCACGCGGAAAAGTGCATCAATCCAGCAAATTATGGCACTCACCGTAGCTGTGCACGGATAGTCGTGCTAAAGGTATATGAGACTCTCTATGGGCGAAGTCGCGAAATCGCTTTATGAAACGACAATCTTAGGGATTAAGCCCCCGTCCACACGTATCCGGATATTTTTGAATCCGCAACTTTTTCTTTACGGATCCGGCTTCCGTTCACACGTATCCGGTGAATCCGGCATACGAATCCGCTACTTTCTGAATCCGCTCTCCAAAGAGGAAATTTTTGAATGAGTTATAAATCCGGAATCATGTGGACGCTCAGTCTAAATCACACTTACCCATCTCCTAACCGGTGGGGAGCGCTGGGAAGAGAGACCCGACGGGTTAGGGGGTGGAGACGTATGACATTTCAGACTCTTTGAGTGGGCGCCAAGAGCCACTTTTGTGGGCGCAAAATCCGGATATTTCCTTACACTGTAACGTTTTGCCCAGGTCTTTACCGTGAATATTCAAGACGGTGCCCAGCGCAATATTATCGCTTCTTTACTTCTTGCACTTCAGTTTCAAGTCTTATAACGTTTGCGCAGGTAAACCTACAATCAGGGACAAGAGTAGTTGACACACTTGTCTAAAACGAGTGCTTTTATCAACATTTTCATACATTTATTATTTCATTCTATTTAAACGCCATAAATCCCCCACGCCACCCCCGAATCAATGTTGTTTGTAGATAAAGAAAGACTTCAGGGTCTAAAACATAACATTGGTTTTGGGGGAAGGGGGTGGGGGTACTCAGGGGAAGGGGATAGGTATGTCCACTGTTCAAAAGGGGGGCATTTTATAGACGTGTCTCAACACGTTTGTCTCTCAATGTAGCTATGATTACTGTACACTTCAATTATGGCAAACGGCGGTTTGAGATTTTGAAGCTTCTTTCCATGTGGGACGGACGGATTGGACGCCGTAAACAAGTCAAACGAGCGAAATATAGTGCTTGATGGGACAATTTTATCAGTGAAACAGACTGGCGATAAAATTTTTGCTTGAGCCGAAGATCGCTTTATTACAAATTAGCTGACGAACTGAGAGTGAATCCGGTGTCGTGTGGACGGGCAAATTCGATTTGAATACGGATACGTGTGGACGTGGAAATTTTTGAATCTGCAAAGAAAAATTTGTGGATTAAAAAATATCCGCATACGTCTGGGCGGGGGCTAAAGCTACGATCGCATTGCCATTTCGATAAAGTTTGAGAACGTCACTCGTGCGACAATGGCAAGGAAATTTGCCAAAAAGTGCGCTGCACGTTCAGGCTTTTTTTTCTGTTTATCACTCAAACCTGTTGCATGTTTCTTTTTATTTTCATGTTACCTTCGCCGTCATGGTGGTTGCTCGAGCTCCCCAGTAGGACCAGTAGCGTTACCATGCAGAACAACTATTAATATGCGACGACTTCGTTGAAAAGCTGACGATTTGATGAGAAAAGGGCGACGAAAACGACGTTCGCAGTTACTCGCCAATAGAGAGGATTGTATATGAAAACAGTTAAATTTATTATCATGCCATGCTTGCTACAATTCTTACTAAATACTACGGTTCATTAGCCTTCATGAATCCTCCAAGTGAACTTGAGCTCAGCGTTTAGGTTCCCCACCTCTTTTGCATATATGCAGTCACTAATCCAAAACTGCTCTACAGGTAGAAAGCCCGTAATCTTTCCCGGGTATATTACGAATCAACAGTTGCTCTAAGCCTCTATTTCCAAGCGAGCCTAAGTGCGATATGAAAATGATTTTTTATTCTCATGCAAATAAAAGTCATTTTCACAAGAAAGATTTTGCACTCAGCCTCATTTTGAAAGTGATAATTCGGAGATGACCTATTTTTGTGAAAGGTTTGAACCCAGGGAATGACCCATTTTTATAATGACCAGCTCCCAGATGGCTTGCTTGCTCGATTGGTTAGAGCGCTGCACCGGTATCGCATAGGTCAAGAGTTTGAATCCGATTCAAGCCCGGATTTTTTTTCAGGCCTTTCTTGTCGCACCTGCATGAAGGGTGGACGCGTAATTTTCGCGCTCGTGTAAACGCACGTAAATTTTACTCGCGTAAGTAAAATATAGACAAGGTACGAAGCCGTGTTGCACTTAAACGTGAAGTTGGGCGAGGTTCAACTTTTACTTTTACGCGCGATCCTTCATATATTGCCTCTCTTTTATTTGCGAATGTAATTAAATTTTTCTGCTCGAACGCACGTAAAAATTACGCGACAGTGGAAATCCACCCTATAAAGGGCCTAAAGCAATTGTTGCCTTCTCTAAACGTCATTTGGATCCAAGGCGCAGTACCAACTAATGACCGGTTTACATGGAGGTGGGGGACCACCCCACCTATCATGTAAATGACATCAAATTAAAATGAGAGATTATATGGACAGGCGGGTTACCCAACCTAAGCGGATCTCCTCATCTACCTGGGGTCCCCCACCACCATGTAAACAAGCCCTAAGCCATCAATCCCCCATTCTCCTCCAACTTTCACTCGGATCATTTTATATTTCTGGGCTTAATGCTACACTCACGTGTTTTAATGCACTTTTTCCGATATCCATTATATGGTGGGTTACAAACACAGCGATAGGATCCCGGGATGTTTGTACAGTTTGCATTAGCGTCGCAGTCATGTAAGTTGTCAGCACATTCATCAACATCTGAAAAAACAAAATGCCAGAATTACACATAAACCTACCTCCTACATTGGAATCACAGAAATTTTAAAAAGATGAAGTTCAAGGAGCAGTTCAAAGACTGCTTCCGTAAGATCGTTGCGATCGAGCGCTTACTGCTGTAACAATTAAGTGATCATCTTCATGGTTTTAAGTGTAAGTATAACTAGGGAAAGAGTATCAAAGGGAGCTATAAGCCCCGACTCTATAAAGGCGCGTCATAAAAAATTAATCGGAAAATGTTTGAAAATCTTTAGATAAGAATGACTGAGACCAGGTTATATGAGCCCGCGAGACTGAGCACCCGACCGGCACCTAAATTCTTGTTTTCTCTTAAACCGCTGGACGCCACAACCTGGTTAAGATCAATGTTATCTAAGGTCTTCCCAAATTTTTACCTTCACAGATGCTCCCATTGCCTGTGTAGCCAGGCCTGCATGTGCAGTTGTAAGAGCCAGCTGTGTTTTTACAATTCGCATTTTTGTTACAATCATGGCTTCCCTTTTCGCATTCATCGATGTCTGAGTAAGGAAACGAAAAAAACAAGAAATGAATATAAATTAAGTCTTATTATGACATTTATCAGCAAGTTTTACCTTTACAAATGCTCCCATTGCCTTGATAGCCAGGCCTGCACGTGCAGTTGTAAGAGCCAGGAATGTTGGTACAGTTGGCATTTATGTGACAATCATGGCTTCCATCCTTGCATTCATCAATTTCTGGAGGGAGTAGAAAATATTAAGTTACAAAGATAACATAAATATATACTTGCAGGAACAAGAAGTGAAGGCTTGGGTAGCTAATTACAAATGCTCCCATTTCCTGTGTAGCCAGGCCTGCACGTGCAGTATATGAGCCCTAACCTGAGATCAGGCCCAATTTGAGCGGTTCTCATACATTCTCTCTAACGGCTACCGCTGAAATTGGGCCTGATACAAACTATTACAAGTTTGTGCTCGTTACGGCCAGATTTTGGCCGTAACGCTGATTGGCTGTTAGAACAATGCCACAAGATCTGATTGGCTGTCGGAAACGCTGAAAGTTGAAAGCACTTATTCCTCGCGTGGTTGTTTTCGTGAATGATCCGTCGTCGGTGGAGAGAAGGATCGATTTTGCTGTCTTTTTATTGTTTTATGGTCTTATGGTACGAAAATATGCCTTAATATGTGCCATGGAAATTCAGAAAATTCATGTGGTTGTTCATATCTTCTCAGGATTTGCTTTATTTACGGAAAGTGAGTGTATCGCGGAGTTGAATCCCTCTGCAAGTTGTTGACCGCTAACAAGATGCATTTTGATTAACAGACAAAAGCTATATTTTAAGTCAGCCAGTCTGCATTTTTCCCACGCGTGAAAAATTTGCATACTAGAAAAACAAGCAACGGAAGTAATTCTGATTGGCTGATTCGGCAAATGTCAATCAATCAAAAAAGTGGGCGGCAGACATTTCGTAGAAGGTTTGTATCAGGCTCTCTTTTCGTTTCGTCTTGCCCGCCGAAATGTAATTTTCAAAGCGAAACGAAAATAGAGCCTGATCTCAGGTTATATAAGCCCGGAATGTTGGTACAGTTCGCATTTACATCACACTGATGAGTTTTATCCTTGCATTCGTCCAGGTCTAATATATAAAAAAAAAAAACAAGAAAACAAGCATAAATCCGGGGGGGAACCCCCTACAATGACCTATACGGGGAAGCTCCGGCAGAATTGCGAAATGGGTGCCTTTTCCAGGCTTCAGGTGTGGTTGAAGTATATGAGAGGGTAGGGAAATCTGTGTCATTTTAGTCTGTAAAAAGACCTAAAAGGGCTAACAGAAGGATTTTATGGCTGTGAAAAAGTCGAGACATTTTCCTGGTTTTCTCATTTATTCACAGTTTAACGACAGTGCATTTACGGCAGCTAAAAGTAATGTAAAGTTCCAAATTAGGTATTTGAAAGGGGTACCATTTGCCAGTTGAAGGTACTGTGTAAGGGACGTCAGGGGTACCTTTTCTCTCAAAAGAAATATATAGAAAGGTAAGGAGCTTGACCTCAAGGCGGAGCTTTACAAGATAAAACTTTGCTGCGGAATTCCTCCTACCCCGGGGGGCACAGATGTTTTCTATCCCAGACTGCAGGCATTCGCAAAAGAACTTCTTGTCCGTATATTCAAAAAAACACTTTTCATTGTTCAAGTCTGTAACAGGTGACCATCTTGGTTTTAAGTGTAAGAATAACTATGGAAAGAGTATCCAAGGGAGTACTACCAAAGGGAGCTATGAGTCCTGACTCTTTAAAGGCGCATCACAAAAATTAACCGGCAAATTTTTACCTTTACAAATGCTCCCATAGCCTGTGTATCCAGGCCTGCATGTGCAGTTATAAGAGCCGGGTGTGTTTGTACAATTCGCATTCATGTGACAATCATGGCTTCCCTTTTCGCATTCATCGATGTCTGAATAAGAAAAAGAAAAAAGAAATAAATATGAATTAAATCTGATCACGACACTTATCAGCAAGTTTTACTATTACAAATGCTCCCACTGCCTTGGTAGCCATGCCTGCATATGCAGTTGAAAGAACCAGGAATGTTGGTACAGGCCCTTGGAAGTAGTAAGCGCAAGAAAGCAGGGGACACCACCCGTTTTTTTCTTGCTCCCAAATACTTCCCTGCGCCTGCTACGCATATTTACTTCCATCCTTGCATTCATCAATTTCTGGAGGGAGTAAAATGTTAAGTTACTGAGAAAACTAAATTATTTGCAGAAAAATGAAGAGAAGGTTTGGATAGTTAATTATACCATTACAAATGCTCCCATTTCCTGTGTAGCCAGGCCTGCACGTGCAGTTATATGAGCCAGGAATGTTGGTACAGTTCGCATTTTTGTGACAATCGTGGCTTCGCTTTTCGCATTCATCGATGTCTGAGTAAGGAAACGAAAAAAACAAGAAATGAATATAAATAAGTCTTATTATGATATTTATCAGCAAGTTTTACCTTTACAAATGCTCCCATTTCCTCTGTAGCCAGGCCTGCACGTGCAGTTATATGAGCCAGGAATGTTGGTACAGTTCGCATTTACGTCACACTGATGAGTTTTATCCTTGCATTCGTCCAGGTCTAAAAAAAAGAAAAGAAAACAATATCCGATCAATTAGCCACCAACCTCGTACATCGTATATAAACCATTGCCGACATTCAACGCAAGAAAATAATCAAGTTTGTAGCATGCTGATTGCTTAAGGGAAGACTGATTGTTTCACTCATTGCGAGAAGAGCAAGCATAAATCCCGGGGGGTACCCCCTGTAATGGCTTATACGGGGAAGCTTCGCCCGAATTGCGAAAAGGGTACCTTTTCCAGACCTCAGGTGTATGAAAGGGTTGGGATTTCAATAGTTGAAGTATATGAGAGGGTAGAGAAATCTGTGTCATTTCGGTCTGTAAAAGGACCTAAAAGGGCCAACAGAAGGATTTTATGGCTGTGAAAAAGTCGACAAAATTTCCTGGCCAGTTTTGTGATTTATTCACAGTTTAAAGACAGTACATTTACAGCAGCTAAAAGTAATGCAAAGTTCTAAACTAGGTATTTGAAAGAGGTACCATTTGTCAATGGATGGTACTGGGTAAAGGGAGGGGTACCTTTTCTCTCAAAAAATATTATATAGGAGGGTAAGGAGCTGGACCTCAAGGTAACCTGAGATCAGGCCCAATTTTAGCGGTTCTCATACATTCTCTCTAACGGCTACCGCTTTTCGTTTCGCCTCGCCCGCCGGAATATTATTTTCAAAGTGAAACGAATATAGAGCCTGATCTCAGGTTAACCTAAAGGGGGAGCTATCCAGGATAAAACTTTGCTGCGGAACCCCCCTTCGGGTGGGGGGGCACAGATGTTTTTTTAACCCTGACAACGTTGATTATTTCTTATTAAGCAACATTCACTTGTTCTCTATTTCTGGGTAGGATACACTTTCGTTTTTCTAACCATCTCGAAGCAAAAGCCGGCGAGCCAGCTGGCGATTCCGTGCATGAGAGACGTAGACGTAGACGTATTTCCAGTTTGTTTCTGCCCGAAAAGTATTCTTTGCGGCGCAGACAAGCGAAAACAGGACTGAATATGTCTGCGTTTGCTGGCCACATAATCACCTGTTTCGCAGAGTTCTCCCGTGTAACCAGACTGGCATTCGCAAAGAAACCTCTTGTCCGTGTATCCAAGGAAACACTTTGCATTGTTCAAGCAAGGTTTGTAGGCACAAATATTCTAGTGAAAGTGAAAGCGTAATTTAGACTTCATGAAATTTTAATATTATATTGTAGGAGTCTTGTAGACTTCGAGCAGTTCCCTTTTCAGTCGGTCAAATCGAGACTAGACAGAGCTCGAGAGAGCAAACCAATCGAGAAGGAGGGTCTGAATGGGGTTTAATGTTTGGTGTTATTTGCCCATAATTTTGAGTGTTTGCTGTTAAATTAGCCAATTTTTTAATGTTTACTGTTTCCGAAGAAATACTGTCAAGTGTTTGGAGGGTTCATCGGACATCTTCGGCAATGATCGGACCTCTTCGTTAGTCTTCGGAAATCTTCTGAAATAATCAGGAATTGTCGTGAAATGGCCAAAAACTCCTTGATATCCTAAAAAAAATATTGGCCTTTTTGGAGCCGTTTTTGCTTCTATCTGGGAAAAAATTAGTTTCAAAGAATCTTTATTGTTAGTGTTAAAATGCCTAAAATTTAACCATTTCATGTTACAAAGCCAAAAAATGAAGTGTTTAATTTTATCTAGGTACCCCCCCATTCAGACCCTCGAGAAGGGAACTGGAGAGAGGCTTGTCCTTTTCCGTCTTCCTCCTTGCGCGTTGGCCTCGCACGCTCGCTCACACGTAACATTCTCGTACGCGCGACAATCCTTAGAGACTGCAAGTAGTCAATGCTCCCTATTACCATTCTCATCATTATTTTATGTCTTCTTCATCGCCGCTCGACAGAACTTTGGCTAGACTTTGTAAAAGTCCGTTTTGGTTGGTTCCCCCTGTCTGGAGGGAAGACGGACAAGTGCAATCTTCGGGAGAGAACCCAAGACACGAGCGGTCACTATAACAGTTAACCGAAACAGGAAACCGCATATGAAAAGTCTCTGACACCCAAGGGTCGTCATCACTATCTTTTGATCGTCATTGTCATCATCACTTCCATAGCTAAAACTTCACTTTTTGGGCTATGAACAGTTAAACGCTTACCACAAGATAATTCACAACCATTGCCGTGATTAATTTATTCCAGTGAAATTCGCCCTACCTGTGTACCTTTATACATCCAACCTTCTCTTCGTTTTAAATCATTTGGATGCTGTATGTGATCTGAGTTACACAACTCACAGACCCTCATATCATTAATTGCTGGACCAATGTTGATTGCCACGCACTCTCTCCGGTAAAGACATTCCGTTTCGCAAGATTTGCTTGCTCCAATGGAAAGGTTTAAAAAGGTGTGGCCTTGAAGATACATATAAAGGCCATACTCCCGATCAAAAAACTTCAAATACCGAATGTGGCCACAGGTATCTAAAAGATACATTAAAAAAAAATAGCAATGTTAACGTCTATTTTATTTTACTTATTTTATTAGCTTTGCCCTGTAGAATACAGAAAAAAGAAAGACACAGAAGATATGCAAATACTAGTTATAAGAACGTAACAACACACTAATAATAACTTAAATATTTGGGCAGGGACACCGCAACAGCGAAAGCCAATTACTGCGGACCCAAAAAATAAAAGGATATAAAAGTAGCAATTTAAATCACATGCAGCAGCTAATTTCTTGGTCTAAAAACCTGGCTGTGTTACATTTCAAGCAAATACTTTTGAAGCCCCTTGGAGAGTCCGGGCCATAGTTTATTGCTAGAACCCGCGAGCAATAACCGTAAAGAACAGATTTAAAGTTCTCAAAAGTAACATTATCTAGGTCAAGTCTAGTAATAGGCAGGTTCCAGATTCTAGTGGTTCAATTGAAAAAAGATTTCTGAAAGGTAGCAGTCCTGCATTTTTTAGGCACAAAAGATTGACAGCTCGTTACAGATATACGGGTCCTTCGCGCGCATTCTCTGACGTAGGGAACAACAGACGGATCTAAGTGAATCATATTATGCGTAGCCTTGTAAAAGTATACTAGATCTAGTAACTCGTGCCAGTAGCACACTGGAAGTAGGTTTACAGACATTAGTCTTTCTTTGTAAGAGATATTTGTTAAAAAAGGCAAGCAAAGAATGAATTTGATGGCACGTCTTTGGATACTTTCAAGTTTAGAAATTAGTTCAATGCCTTGGTGCGCCCAGATCTGGGTTGCGTAGCCACGATGAGCACGAACAAGCCCGGGGTACAATGTGCGCCTTACGGAAGTACTGTGAATAAACCTAGAGTTCCTCCTAACGAAACCTAACAACTTGTGCAGCTTGGTGAGAGACTTGGGCGTGTCAAGTCAAGTCACAGTCCAAGGAGATGCCAAGGTCACGCTCTACGTCACAGGACTTGATGGTACTGCCGTTAACCTCGTAGCTCGAACAGATGGGCTTGTGCTTCCTCGTAATGGTCTGAAGCTTGCATTTCTTATCATTGAAGGCTAGGCCAGAGGCAGCGGACCATGAAGACAGATTATCCAGATCTTGTTGGAGAGCGGCGCCATCATCCTCAGACATCACTACCTTGTATACTTTAGTGTCATCTGCAAACATTGCCACTTTGCGATTGAGGGTAGAATCTGAAGGTTGTTCACATATAACAAGAAAAGAGCAGGTCCGAGTATTGAACTCTGAGGGACTCCAGAGGTGACAGGTAGATCGCGTGATGTCGCTCCTAGTACGGTGACGCGTTGGTGCCTGCCACAGAGATACGCGTGAAATCATGTGAGCAGGTTCCCTCCGAAGCCAGCATCCCGCAGTTTTTCCATAAGGAGGTCATGTCTAACCTTATCAAAGGCTTTGGACATGTGTAAATACACACAATCTACTTGACCAGCTCTATCAAGAACAGCACCGATGTAATCTAGGGTCTCTAGTAGATTTGTGACACATAAGTGTCCACTCCGAAACCCGTGCTGACAGTCCGCAATCAGATCTTCTAATCGGTCATTGATGCGATTCAAGACACAGCGTTCGATGACTTTAGAAATAATGCAAAGTAGGGAGATAGGCCTATAGTTTTCAACATGATCTTTTTTATCCTTCTTATAGACAGGCACTACATTGGCCAATTTCCACTCAGACGGTATGTAGCCTTCCCCCAGAGACCTGTTGAACAGCTTGCATAGTGATGGAGCAATAGTAGTCGCGGTTTTCTTTAGGATTCTTGCCGGGATCTCATCTGGACCAGTGGCTTTGTTTGGGTCTAGTGATTTTAGGACAGCCTCAAGTTCGCCGACGTGCAACACAATATCGCTCAAGGGGGGGAGGGGGCTCTGCGGCAGGGAATTTCCCTGCGCCTTCATCTACTTTGTCCTCTTGAAGAACGGAGAACACTGAAGTGAAATAGTTATTAAAAATGTCTGCGATTTCTTCTGGCGTGTCAGCGGTTGCACATAGGTTACCAGTTGCCATGGAGACACTTTGTGGTATGTTATGCGACTTTGAGCGAGTTGTTAATACTGACCAGAGACGTGATTGATCTTGAACTCGATGTTAGCAGACTCAAAGAACTCTTCCCTGCTTTCTTTGATCGCGCGCTTTACTTGTGAACGCAGAGTTTGAAATTTGGATTTTAGTGACTCCGACGGGTGCAATTTTAGTTTCTTGCGTACGGTTTCCTCTTTCTTGATAAGATTGATAACGGCACCTGTGAGGCAGGGCACAGGGTTTCGACCTCTCAATCGCTTGGTTGGAATATTGTCTTTTACCGCAGCAAGAAATAGGTCTTTCCAGGTCTGCCAGCAGCTTTCAAGGTCGCCCTCACCCACCACACTTGTAAGATCAACTGAACGCAGAGCGTCTCAACCACTTAGTCTTTTTTTAATTATATTCCACTACTAATTTCACTCACGTTAATTCAGAGAACACGTTAAAAAAACATCAATGCACTCTTTCGTTCTCCCACGCTCCTCGACCGTGATCGTTTATAAATGAATAACCGATCCTTTGCAGACTGCTTGCTGGACAAAAACATAACACCACCAACAGCAACAACAACAAGAACAGGTTACCATGAATGTTAAGCAGCTAAATATTTCACAATGAAATTTAAAAAACTTTGGAACTAAAATGGAGTATCTGTGAAATGGTCAGAAGCTATCGATCGTACACTACATCGTAATCTAGCCCGCCTTGGCTTTTTCTCTTATACTTTTTGTTTTTAGGGCACTGACATTATAAGTAATACTGTATCAACAACTTCAGCCAAAAATCATGGGACCTGACTGGTTCGTTTTGCTTAGCATAGACTGTGTAGTCCTCTCCCATGTTGAGTTTCAACTTTTTTGCAAATGGGAGGCGGCGAAGGTTATAATAGTAAGCTGTAAGTTTAGTAAAGTGTAAGGTCTTGTTTATGAACAAAATTGAAAAAGTCCTCCTTAAAGGTTTTTTTGAAAATATTACACTTAGTAGCAAAACGAGAATTAAGGTGAATGTATGGTGTGTGCATATGTTAACAACTGGCTTTAGTCATACCTTGATTTGCACTAGCAATGCAGCTTAGCCAAGCTCCCCAGAGAACACAGGCCAAGAAGAGTGCTTTAACAGCAAAGCAACAACCAGCCATGCCGGGTGAATTTGTCAGAATGCTACCCTTCTCGATTCTCGTCTTAATTTAAGGCTGAGATGTCACGAACTGGCAACCCAATCAGTTCCGTTTGACACGTTCTTTTATTAGTTGTCGTGTAAATTAATTTTCGAAGCTAACATTAACAGCCAGCAAAATTAAAACATGCTCATTAATTTTGACTTCCCTTCAGTTTCAGTTTCATTTATCAACTCTAATTGCCTTTAATACAGCTAGCCACTAATTGCATTGAATTTCTTAACATCTGCCAAAGCGGCCCGGAACGTTGAAAAGTTCTCGGTTAAATATCACCCCAAAAAAGATATTAGTCATCATGTTTTTGTTTTTGTTATTGTACGTTGGATTGTGCGTCGTGTTCAGTTGAAGTATGAGCAGCATTATGATATGAGCAGACTCAGTTAATTTCAAAGTAATATTTTACCTAACTTCAATTTAGTGGATATTCTTAGTTTGGCATGTTTTTAATAATATTTTAAGTGATATTTTTCCTAGTGAAACTCTATCTTAGCTGCCAATTTTTGTTTCACTGTTTAATATGGACCTTTTGGAATAAGGCCGTTTTTTACTTTAAAACGTTTAGTGAGTTCTCTCCTTCAAAAAAGGTTCATGGGCCTAACACGTTCACTTGTTGGGCGCCTTTGAAATGACAAGAATATTACTCAATTAAAGGATCCACCCTGATACTACATGCACGTTTTCCTACTAGCGCGCGGTATATATAGGAAAGTACTTACTTACAGTTACAACATGTAGTTAGTATACCAGAAAAAAAATCTCGATTTGCTTAAACAGGGGCCACGAGGAATCGATGGACGATTACTGTACCCTGCGAGCAGAGGTTACATCAATTTTTTTCAGTTTACAGTTATAGTTTGTTTATTGGGCAGCTCACACCGCGAAAATGTAGACTCTGCTCGTAAGGTAGACGATTACAGAAATTTCCCGAAATTGTTTGCTGAAACTAGACTAGAATGCGTGTGAAAAAATTCTCGAAACGCCGAGCTGAGGGTGTTTGTTTTGATCAACGCTGCGCAATGATCGACCTGACTCAGTGCATGGAATCTTGCGTTTTCTGCTTTTATTTCAGCTATTGTATGTTTTATGTGTGAAAACCTTCAATACGAATCGGTATATTTCAAAGAGCTACACAAAAACCAAAGCTACTATGACCGAGAAAATACAGAGCGGGGGCAGCTGTAGTGTCAACTATTACTAAACTCCCCATCATGAAGTGTTTTAATTTATAGATATAGCCAGGGCTAAAAGCGAACCTCTCTTTAATATTTATAGTTTCCTCAAAGAAAATATAAAATCGACTAATACTAAAGACAAGGTAAAAAACAACAACAATGGATCTAATTAGCCAGAAACAACTTTACACGTGCGGAACACTTTTTGTTCTCATTAGCCAGACACGTGCAGCACACTTTTTGTACATTTCCTCGCCGTTGTTTTGCACGACTAAAGCGTGAAACTTCTTTTAACTTCCTATTTACACGTTTTATGGAGAAAATATTTGGGCTCCTGTTTACTCTGTTTTTTCACTGCCGCTCATTTTCACCTTGGTAGCTGCTAGCATTTCTCATTTTCTCACCGCCGCTATGTATAATTCTCATGTTTTTCTTCCAACGAAATTGGTCTCCATTGTTATTTATTTCTCGCTCCAGCTGTTTTCTTAATATCCAGGTTAATGTAGACATTAAAATTTAGTGGAAAGAAAGGCTTGTTTTTTTGCTTGTTTGTTTTTTTCTCTTCAAAAGTCCGGTCGGCCATGTGTTTTACCACCGAAACGAGCAGGGGTGCTTTAAATGCAAAATTTTACCTCAGCTATAACATACTCCTCCCCCGAAGGGCCGACTCCTGACTCCCTTCCCCCTTTCCCAGAGTCTGTACGGTCAACGTTCGGTCGTCATAACCAAATTTTCTTGAATGGATTGATTACCAAATTTTCTAAGCTATGGGGCTCCGCTTAACTAATTAAGCAATGGAGAGGAGAAGTCGTTACGTCACGTTGTATAATAAAAGCGGTTATCAGTACGTCTCAAGCCCACTTTGGTGACCAGTTCATACATGTAGGTCCTAGTGGCTGAATTTGGGTAAATTTTCGTGACAGACCTCCTTTTATATTTGGCTCATGCATTGTTGTATTTTTAGGAGTGTACAAAATCATTGTGGTAGAGAAATGTGGTCACCCACCCTCCCTTCGGCTGGGCGGGTCACCCTTCAAGCGAGGCTAACTTTTTGTTTCTCACGTAAACAGTTCACCACATTTTGTAAGGAAATGTCCCTTCTACCCATGACAATTTGTCTCCATAGAAATAGGGCCATTATATAGGAAAGGAGCAGCTGCTTGTGTCTACATCAAGGCCTGTGCCTACCCACATGACTACACCCAGCTGCATCGCAGCCTTGCATCAACTGAACTGAACAACCATCAGATAGCCTGAGAAAACAGCCGACATTTTTCAACATCACCACTGGTTTCCCTGTGAAATGACGTCTGAGAAATGACTGCAGAAATTTCATACTGTTGAGGTGCCAATACCCAGTTCTGGGTAGTGACACAGGACGTCGCCAGTATGAAATTTCTGCAGTCACTTCCAAACGTCATTTTAGGAAGAAATCAGTGGTGGCGTCCCCAAATTTTGGCTGCTTTCTCAAGCGACCATTGAGATTGTTGTCGCAAATCAAAATCTTGACTATAGAAGCCAAGGAAAAGGTCTCAAGTTAAACTGGATTCCACAACACTAGACAACTTGGGTTGACTACCATACACAGAACTCAGTTTAATTTTAAAGTTTCAAAGTCAGTTGGTTAAACAACTGACGGTAAAGAACCTACAATAATGAACAAAAGCTACAACCGAAAGTTACTTTATACTTAAGGCTGGTTTAACACAGCAGCAAGCTAATCATAAGTACCTTTTGTTACCTAATTAACAGGCATTCTTCATAACAGTTGACCTGCGCCATTTTAAAGCAGCTCTGTGACTGGTCTGCAATGAGTACCTCTGTTTCGAATGTTTGCCCTTGCCCAGAGCGGGGGGCAAGCGCCCGAAACCAGGGCGGATATACCTTTATGGGCCCTGCTCCAAACATCAGCTTTCAAAGGGTCTTCTCGTTGGTGACTTGTTTTTATAAACTCAATGGATGAAACTTTTTTTTGTGAGTTGGTCTCTCTCACCGATGCAGTACCACAGATTGTGTTGAAAGTATAAATTCCTTCAACCACATTATCATTTTAAACTGAACCAACGAATCACAGAGATGCACATTTTCATGCGCATTTTATGAGGAAAAAACATTCCTTTGAACTCGATAACCAACCAAAGGGCCGCTTTGGATTTGTGCAGGGCATCGCGTGAATGCATTTTCTTAGGCATTGGGTTGAAAATTTAAAAAAGGCATAACACTTTATATAAGCTGTCCACAAAAGTGTTGATGCACACACGCGCGAGTCCACCTGGTCTCGATTTCTTCGATCGTTCAAGCAGTCTGCGCTAGGTCCGTGCGTGATTTAATGCCTGTTGCCGAAATGAAGGAATGTTCATGTCTCCCCGCATTGCTGAAGTCCCTTATTAAACTCTCCACCTGGCGGACATTTGCGTGTGTACCGACTCTTGCAAAAACGCAGTAATAGGCCACTTCCGAGTTCCAAAAGCCCTCACTTTCAAAATGAGGCCAAGTGCATCACTTTTCTTGTGAAAATGAATATTATTTGCATAAATCATTTCCATATCAAAGGCTGAGCACTTAACCTCGTTTTTATACAGAGGCCCAGGTAACTCAAAAATTAAATGGCCTTTTGCGAACTACAAACCTTGAATTACCTTTATTAAAATGCCTACACAATTTCCTATGACATTATGCAATATACGTAGCTAAGAAATATTGTATAGTAATGAACAAGTTTCAAAGTGTCGAAGCTTCAACTCTTGGGCTCAGTGGGGTTGCAAGATTCCATTTTGTTCTTTGCTTTTTTCTATTCTAATTTTTCTCAGACAGGAACTGAGCCTGAAAGCTGAGGCAAAAGACACTGCAAATTCCAACTACAAAATGGAAACAAAATTTATCGTAGTGCTGGTTGTACATCACAACTGGCTGTGAGGCTTACTTGTTGACTATTTACATACCGTATTTATTCGAATAAGCGCCCAACCTCGAATTAGCGCCCGCCTCGAATCGCCTATCCTAAAGGCAGAAAAAAAGTTATTAAGTGCCCAACCTCAAATAAGCCCCACCACCTAACATCCATCCAGCAAGCTGTATCTGCTTCTCGGGCACCTAACCCATTTGCCGGCTTTACGATTTCGGACATCCAGGAGGCAGCACCAGAGAATTCACTTACTGACTTCCCTAAAGACGGAGTTTTCTTCAGAGTAGTTTACAGAAACCTTGCTTTGATTTTGTTTTGTTACAAAATAAACATTACTACAGTTGCTGAAAATGGTGAAAATTTTTAAAATAAACGCCCACGCTCAAGGTCCAAAAATTTAATAAGCGCTCAGGGCGGTTAATCGAATAAATACGGTACACCTTTTTATATTTGGATCAAGATGACGAGATTGAATGGGGACCCTCCATGTAAGAACGCCTAATTTTGACCTGAGACTGAGCCAAGACTAAACTTGCTTATTTTTTGAGGCGATTTGAGCCTCAAAACGTTCTTAGATGTTTTTAAATTACATTTTGAAAACATTGTATGGACGACTTTTAATTTCCTCGTGTTTTGAGAGGCTAAGAGTGACCTCAGGAGAGGCAACAGTGCACACAATGTTCAGCCAAACACGTACAGCAGTCTTTATAGCAATTTTTCTATATTCCTCACGTTGAAATTGGAGGAATCGACAATGTTCGAGACTGAACTTCAGCCTTGGCTTTGCTCTGCTATTAGGATATTCTTAAAAAGGTTTCTATAAAACAGGAGTAAGTGTGGCTTAGCACCAGGACGCCGAGGACTGATCAGGAATGTAATTAGTT